AATTAGACAAAAGTGGACAAAATAAAAAGAATATAAAAAATGTCTTGTTATCATTGTGGCATAAAAGGTTATTGGTCACTTACTTATTGTATGTTGAAATATCTTATTAAATTTTATCAAATATCATTAAATGCTAAAAGAAAAAAAAATTTAATGATACAATTCTTCTCCAACTTAAGGACATTAAAATAAAATTAAACATATACTTCATAATCTTCAAGGAACAACGTACATAGGTTTATATTACTCAAATATATCAAAATCAAATTTAATTTGTTATATAGATGTAGAATATTTATCCGATCCCTACAAGGTTCATTCCTAGATTGGTTACTTATTCATATATAGAGGTATGACTAGTTCATAGTATTTTGTAAAACAAACTATATTTATTATTTTTTCTAACCTTGTAGAAATTTTGATAATTCATGAGACAAGTCATGAATATGTCTGGTTAAAATCTATGTCTTAACATATTTAAGAACGTGTGGCTTGTCAAATGAGAAAAAAATTTCAACAACGTTATATGAGGATAATACTGCTTACATAGCACAATTAAAAGAATGATACATTAAAGGTGATTAAATAAAGCATATTTTGTCAAAAAAAAATTTCACTCATGATCTCAAAAAAAAAAATGATGATATTAGTGTTCACCAAAACCTTTCCTACTGCAATGCTTGAAAAGGTGGTACAAAAGATTGAAATGTATCATTTTAAAAATTTTAAATAATGCAATCATTAAGAAGTGTAAAATACACATTGTACTCTTTTTTTTTATCAAGATTTTTTTCACTAGGTTTTTCTTAATAAGATTTTTAATGAGGCAGTATTTCAAAAGTGTATTCTTGAAAAAATTTATATAAGCATTTTGTATTATTCGGATCTTTTCTAATGAGGTTTTTTCTTAATAAGATTTTAACGAAACATACTCTTAACAGAATGGATATTCGATGGAGACTGTATATCTGTGGATATCTATTTTATTATGTATATTTCAATTTGATTGTAGATTAGATTATATTAAAATTAAGATTTAATCCATACATCTAATCCCTTAATATTATTTTTATTTTATAAATTTTATCAAGATAAAAAGTTATTAGTCTATATAAATCTCTTATTTTATTTATAAATATACACTCAAAGAAAATTTTCTTACTCCTTCCAAATACTTTCGTTTAGTTATTCTTGGAAGTTATATTTTATAACATTATTTTTATTTTTATGAATATTTAGTGAACTTTAGTTTCCAATTAACTAAGGAGATGATGTGGCATAAATCTAAACATGGGGCACCAACAGGGGCACAAAGAGAGGTCGAGGATTTCCATTTCAAAAAGTACAGGTTCAATTGTAAAATTGCATATAAAAAAATCAAATTTAATTGTTTTTTTATAAAATTTTCAAAGTATTTTGTATCTCTGAAAATAGCTATCAAGCATTATCACATACAAAAAATATAATTTAATGAAAATGAATAAAATATGAAGGTTTAATAAAAAAAGCGTTTTTAAAATACTAATGTAAGTACTGAAAATAACATTACATAACATTTGAGATAAAATGGATGAAAAATATCATAATCAATTTTAATTAGATATGATAATTATAACATAATGGAGGGTAACAATTAACATAACTTGATAATAGTTTAACGTAAATAAGTAAGATGTCAATCTAAAGATCAAATTGGTCTTTATAAAAAATTAATGTAAATATTAATAATAATGATAAAAAAAAAAACACTCAACATTCCTCATAAATGAAAAACACAATGTAAAGTTTAAATTAAAAAAATCTTAACATAAATAAATACTATAAACAGTAAAATTATGTAAATATGGTATAAATTAGGTAGGAAGTGTCATAATTACATGAAAAAAATTAGATTCATGTCAATTGTGTCTCATGGAGAAACATGATATTATTATTGACAAATTAATTTTGTACATAAATATATATGCTTAAAAGTATGTGAAGAAAAAATCATCTTGTAAAACTCATGCAAATATAAAATTCGTAGATTAAAATTAAAATAACCTAAATAATAATAATAATAATAATAACATTATATTTATTTGTGTTAAGCATTCAAAGATGATAAATTTATGTGTAATAGATAGCTTTTATTAAGAAAATTGAATCTACAACTAGCTACTTATTTTTGTTAAAATATTTATTAATTACATTCGCCTTTATCAAATTTTGACTAAATCTTTATTGTCTAATATAATTATGAAGTGTTAATAATCAATCATATTCTTAATTATCATGATTGTTGCATTATAATTTGATATGCAAACAAAGAATAAGATATATACAATAATAAGCTGTGGGTTGCTATGAAGGAATTAAAGAATCTGCAAAAAAAAGTTTTTGGAGTTTGCTGTTTGCATAGCCTGATTAAATGATTCACCTAAATCAAAGGCGCGATCTCAATCCTTTTTCATCAGCACAGCTTTTTATATTCCTTACAAATGGTCAAGAAAGATGAAGCCAAGATTCTCTCTTTTGCCTTTATTCAAGAAAATAAGATAAACATAATGGTACTGACATTTTAGATTTTATGGTAAAGACTAAACAAAGTAGTTCCATCGTCTTTAACCTATCCTCTTTTGTCCATTTCTCGCCCCTCGACTCGAGTCCATCACCCATTTAACTCAAACACACAAAGAAGGACAATATTTGAGACAGACAGACAGGAAGAGGGGAGCAAAGGGTTGTTTCTTGTTTGATCAATGGCGGCAAGGGTGATAACAGTGTCCCAAGACGGCAGTGGAGACTACCGAACAGCACAGGAAGCCATAGACGCGGTTCCACTCTGCAACACGTGTCGAACTATCATTCGACTGTCACCTGGTATTTACAAGCAGCCCGTTTATGTTCCCAAGACCAAGAACCTCATCACCTTGGCTGGTCTCCGACCCGAGCTCACTGTTCTTACCTGGAGCAATACCGCTACTAGAACTGAACATCACCAGGTAATGTATGGTCCTTTTTCTGCTACTTTGTCTGGGTGTTTGCCACGTGTGATGATGGTGCTGTGGTTTTTTGGAAGGCTTCGAGGGTGATTGGGACGGGGACGTTTGGCTGTGGGAGTGTGATTGTGGAAGGAGAGGATTTTATTGCTGAGAATATCACTTTTGAAAACTCCGCTCCTGAGGTACAACATTTTTTCCCCTTTTTAGATGAAATTCTCTGTTTTCTTATTCAACTTATTTTTGGATTTTTCCTTGTGCACCAAGTCGTGATTGAAGTTTCATTCTTGGGTTTTGTGACTGTGTATCATCATCAAGAAGTTCACTTTTTGACTTATTTTCTCAAAATATGTGGGATTCAGCTATGTGGGTATCGAATACTGTTGTGCTCTTATGATTGGAAGTTTACCTTTTGATTAACTCAAAATTATGATTTTAGCCTTGATTCGTTCTGCAGTTTCCAGCTGAGGTTGTGATCATTGTTAGAAGTGCAGATTCTGAGTTGGTTCCAAATGCATCGGAATTGGTGTGGTGATTATTTCTGTATCATTAATCTTTCTTTCTTTCTTACAGGGTTCGGGGCAAGCTGTGGCAATCAGAGTAACGGCAGATCGTTGTGCATTCTATAATTGCAGATTTCTGGGATGGCAGGTGCTTAACTCTGTCATTTTTGTTGGCCTAATGTAGGAGTGTTATCAACCAGTACAGAGTGTGTTATAGGCCTTGTGTTTTGTTACAAATTGTAGACTTTTCTTTATTTTAAAAATCATAAAAATTTATCTTCACTAGCTCAACCAGCTAAATTGAGATTTTCAATTGATTGAGAGAATAGTTGGCAAAACTATATTTTTGTATGTGGATAGTGTTGGCTACCTGCTAAGGTCTTTTAGGCAGTTCATGACCAATTTAGAGGTTTAATTGTGGTCATAGAGTTGTACTTTAGCTAAAATCTTACTGCTTATATAAACTTTGCAGGATACTCTCTACTTGCATCATGGAAAACAGTACTTAAAAGATTGCTATATTGAAGGAAGTGTGGACTTCATTTTTGGAAATAGTACTGCCCTCTTAGAGCATTGCCATATCCACTGCAAGTCAGCTGGTTTCATAACTGCACAGAGCAGGAAATCTTCTCAGGAGTCAACTGGTTACGTGTTTTTGAGGTCTGTGGTTGACTAGTTTTCTTGTGTCCTTTTCTTTTCTACTAGTTTCTGTTTTTTGTTAATTTCCCATTAAGGTCTTGCATTTCTAAATTTTCAAGTTGTTTGAGGATTTTGATGTTTACAGGTTCTTTCTGGAAACTTAATAAATGTTGGGCTACCTTGATCAAGTTTGTCACTGACAGCTACTTTTGTCAAGTTAAGAAGACAAAACTTTAAATAGCTTAAACGATGGACGTAACTATCCAACATAGTTCATATGTTTGAATCAAAATAAAATAGTTCCATGTACAGCACCGTGGCGGTACATGAGCAGAGTCATTATCTGCTGGTTGGAATCACATACTTTTACCAACCCAGGACCTAGTTTCCAGCTTGAGAGGAAAATTATCATCATGATGATCTCTCTTGCATGTTGTTGCTAGCCAAATGTGACGCTTGCAGTAATCCTTAACATTTTCTCTTTATTTGTCAAATAGTTGTTAAAGGTTTTATATCTCTCACCTAAAGTTTTGATTCTGCCACTGATTAGCTGCAGTTGGCTCCTTGTTGTCTTGTGTTGCAATTGTATAACCATTTTTAGCCTATGGATTATACTTCTTAGAAAGCCATACAAATTGCAAGATGGCTATATAGGAGTACTTAAATTGTTTTTGTTTAGTAGAGTGAACGAGGATTAATTCTAGTTCTTAAAGAAAAGGTTATGCTGCATTTTCGCAGCTTATTATTCCCAGTACTTTGATTATATGGAAAATAAAATCAATGTGTGGATTCCTTGTGACTTGTCTGTTGAGTGAAATATAATGGTATTAATCTTCTTAATTTTCATTATTATGGCCTGAGGCACTTCTTGTAAATCATGACCAGTCATCAATCAGGTTTGCTGATCAGCTGTGACCAATGAAGTTTGCCTAGGTTCCACAGTTATTCTTTTTCTTTCTAAGACATCTACTCCATTTTCACATGCGATTTTCCCTTTGAACAACTGGCAGCATTTATGCAGATGTGTCATAACTGGCAATGGAGGGTCTTCATATTCATATCTTGGGCGCCCATGGGGACCCTTTGGAAGGGTGGTCTTTGCATACACTTACATGGATCAATGTATCAGGGATGAAGGTTGGAATAACTGGGGAAAACCTGAAAATGAGAGAAGTGCTTGCTTTTATGAGTACAGGTTCACTCTGTCCTATTCTCATTTCTATTACTGGTTTAAATTTGGAAATCACCAAAAGTTCATGCCCATTAACATTTTTGTATTGAAAATTTGGTTATAGCCTGGAAGTGGCATCACTGAGTTTTGAAAATACCTTGTGCATGATAGAACTGATAGATTATGTTAATCTGAAAGGTTAACCCGGAGTTGGAATGATGCCTATGTGGTTTGGTTACACAAGTATGCACAACGCAGTTTTGATATTATCATTATGTGAAAATATTATTAAGCTTGTACAACTTCAACACTTAACCTACCTGGTCTTGATAATACTTTCTGCTGGATACTAATATTCACCTTCTGCTTACCTCTTTTTCTACTTTATGTCACACTGCCAATTAATTTTTTTACTTGATTGACACTGCAGATGTTATGGGCCTGGCTGTTGTCAATCAAAACGCGCAACTTGGGCAAGGGAACTGCTGCATGAAGAAGCAGAACAGTTCCTCATGCACGGATTCATCGACCCTGATCCAAACAGACCTTGGCTTGCTCAAAGAATGGCCCTGAGAATACCACATTCTGCTTAGAAGTCACTTTCAAAGCTGGCATGAGTTAATAATCAGCGATATAATGGCGTTTAACCTTTTTATACATGGACTAAAATCTTCATTGTGTCTGGTTCAAGCTTAGTGTTCAAGCATGAAATCTATTTCTTGTGCCACCAAGTTTCTTTTATCCTTGAAGATTTTAGAGAAAGGCTGGCTCATATGAATTGGGCAGTTTTCCTAAGATCTTAATCATGTATTCACCATAAAGTTTGTTTAGATTATTATTTAAGTCCACCAGAGAGTGATTAAAATGAGCAACTTAAGTGTCAAAACTTGTAGTGTTCTTGCAATGGTTGAGTACAGCTATGGCCTAAGCGAGGGGTTTAGTTGCCAGTCACTGGAAATGATCATATCTTTTTGTAATGCCATATTTGGTAAAGAATGAGTGGCTGTGGTCATATATCTGAATTGGCATCAAAAAGTGAAGACGGTGACTACAACATGCCCTGTCTAACCCTCCTTTCTGCCACCATGGCTTGGCAGATTATGCGATTCACCCTAGCTGATCCATCTCTGACCCACCCCTCTCTCCCATTTTCTTCCCGCAACCTAGTTACAGGTCCCTGTTGTTTGTGGAATGTGTCATGGTAGTGGTCTGAATGTTTTCTTCTTAGAATATCATCAAAGGCTACCAAAGATCAGAGCAAAATATTTCCTTAGTTCTTCCCAGCTTAAAAGCAGAGATGCCAAAACCATCAATCCTTTTGAAGTCGATTCTTACATGAGTAAAATTGATATGTTCCATCAATAGAAAGTCAAGTCAATGGAGATTGTTGTTGTACCATAACATACATTTAATTTGTTCCAACTTTACTATAGAGCAATTTAAAGCAAATAAAGAATTGATAGTAGCATATTGGCAGTGCAAGAAGCTTTGATAGATAGGGCAACAAGAGATGATGCAAAATGGATGAGTCATGTATATGAATAAATACTTTTGTCTATAATCTCATAATTAGATGGTAGATTTGTTTTCAAATTCATTAATCAATAAGTAATTTTGTGGTTGAAAGTGTAAATATAAGATGTAAAAAATGAGAGGGAAATTGGGGGAAAGAAAAAAAAATAAAAACAGAGAGGGAAGTGTAATCTATCTCTTGTATGGAAGGCTCACTTTTTCTTTTCTACTTTTGTACAAGTAAAAGTAAACCTTTTGAAACCAAGCCTGTGTTGAGTCCATAAAGCTCTTGTTAGACATAGAAGGCACAAGACCAAAACTCCAGGTGGCTCCAACCAAGTGAAGACTTGGCTAACCATGTGGCCATGTTTTATGTGCACTTTGCTTCATATCATTACGTTTTTCCCCCATTTTTCTCCCAATGAAAATGGAATATTATTATTACCCCTATTATTTGGCTTGGTTGGCCCACTTTTTTAGAGTTGTGTCACCACATGTAATCTCTAGCAAAATGCCACATGACATTGTTGTGACCCAAAAATCAGATATGGTTATCTTTCACTCTCCCAAGTCCAAACAGTGAACTTTTGCCTGTTGGTAGCAGTTTGGCACTTGCCCCTTCCTGCCTTCCATTACCACCAAAATATAAGGAGAATCTTGTTGTCTTTAAATTTTGAATTAGTGTTTAGAGAAGGGAATACTAAGGAAATTAAATATGACCGAAGTTGTGGCAGGTTTTCTTGCTCCATGCCAACAGAATTATTTTGTGTGTAGAGTTGAAAATTTTAGCAAAGGAAAATGGCAAGTCAAGCTGAAGAAACCAGAACTGCAATGCCATGCAAATTTCAAGTCAAAGTCACAGAAATATTTGGTCAGGAATGAGTTAACGGTAAAGCCTGCTACTTACTCTGCAAGAATTTCCACTGATATTCCTCTTTATGAGACTCCTGGGGTACACACTAACTCATTTCTTTCTCAATTGTTCTCTTTTTTGTGAGATGGGTGTTGATTTTTATTGGTGAGTGTGGGATTGAACAGGCTTTGTTTGATCAGTATTTGGAGGATAAGCCCAGAATTTTCAATGCAATGTTTCCTGACAAACATAGAAGCCAACAGCTTAATCAGGTTTTTGCTTTCTTCCTATTTATTTTCCTCTTCCATTACTTCTTTAATTATTAGTGTTGAGTTGAGTTCATAGTTGTACTCAGTAATTCTTACATTACATTCTACTAAAAGAAGAGCTCATGCTATATCGAATGGTTGCCAAAAAAATCGAATCACTACCAGTTCATAATTAATTTTCTTTCTGGGTGTAAGGTGTTTTGCAGGCAACATATCCTAACGGCCAAAAAACAAATTTTAAAAGAAAAAATAAGTCCAAAAAGGGGCCCTTTTATTGAAAAGGAAACTGAGTGTATGACCTTTTGAGTAACACAATTCTCTAGGCTAAGTGGGAGAAGGTTAAATGCCCCTAAAATGAATTGTTTTCACATGTAAACCAATATTCTAGAGATTTGTTCAATATTTTGATGAAAAGATAGCTAATATCATTGTGCTCTGAAACAGAAAAGATGGGAGTTCCCTTCTTAAAATGTACATTGTATTTGTGCATAAAGTTTACTGGTTTGTTGCATTAGGGAACGAGCATTTCTTCTATTTTCCTGTTCTGTTCTTCACTCTGGTGGCCATGGGGGCATAAACAGTCATGTTTTGTCAAAGGATGAAGAACTAATACTATTTTCTAATGAGAGGGAGGTGTAGGTAGAAGATTATAGAACGCATGAAAGAACCATGAAGAAAATACATGCATAACAAAAGTCGCTTGATATATTTAGTAATCATTGACAGTTAATAAATTCAGGCTTAATGACTCGTACGCTAGAATCATGCCCATCACTATTCTAGTAAAGATGTTTGATAGCACTTTGCTTCTCAATGGTACACAAGTAGTAAAATTCTTATGTTCCTTGGATCTGAATAAGCTGCTGAAACTAGGCATAGGCTTGTCAGTAATTGGCAGATCTACAGTAATTGACCTGTTGTTACTTAAGGACGAGAGCTGCAAGAATGGAATGGAAACGAGTGCATAATTTCTAAGAAAAAAATTGACTGTATATGCTAGGTAGGGTTAGCCTTGATTGCGATAGTGGCTATACTATAGATTTTCAAGCTGCTGAATTCGTTTAGATAGCATGGTTTGAAACACACTATTTCCCAGTTCAAGCTTGGCTATCCTATAGCTTAAATCTGAAATATCTTTCTATCTCTAGACAAATGGCAATTTGCTTAAACTTAATCGAAATCAATGTTTGGAGTTCATGATTACAATAACAAATGGACATCCTCGCAGGTTCTGTCCCAAAAATAGTTTCCCCGTACTGGGGCTAGAATATGTCTCTCCCATGTATTTTTTACTGTTGAACTTATGCAGGATGAATGGAGAATCAAGATGTTGCCCCTGCAGTTATTGATTCTAACTGTCTGGCCTGTAGTAGACTTGAGGTTGAGATGCAAATCAAGAGGTAGAGATTACCCACCGGAAGTTCCTCGTGATATCACAAAAGTTCTTGAGCTTGACATTGTAAGCAGCAGAAGAAAAACATGTGAATTAACGAGATTTGCAAAGTAAATTTTTTATGTTAATCATTCCTCTTAAACAATCCAAAGCTCTCTTCTTGCAGACAAGATGGGAACTCCAAGGGCTAAATAATGGTGTTGATCAATCCCATTTCGCACTGATTGTGAAAGGAACATTATACCCTGATAGAAGAGGGAACAAATGCCGGCTTGGGGGTCATTTAGAGATGAACATAAGCTTTGTTCTTCCTCCTGCGCTCGCTTTGATTCCTGAAAATGTTCGCAACAGCCTTGGAAAAGGGGTAAGGACATCAAAAAC